AGAGCTGAATTCTGTCAGTGTGTGTCAGTGGCAGGTGTGCTTGGAACAGGGCTAACAGATTGGGTCCCTCTGTGGACTTAGGGGCTTCTCCAGACTGCTTACACTGGAGTTAGGTGCCCATCTAATGAAACTGTATTGTTTCTAAGGCCAGAAATCAAGTCTAGGCACCCGAGGTATTCTGCAGTCCTTTATTGGATCTAGTAAAAGTTTAGGATATATTTGAACCCAGGGGTTTTGTCCAGCTCTTTTCCTCAGTATGTTACAGAGTCACAAATCCTGTAATCTTCCTCAAGCAATAATAATTGTTCAATTTATCCTTCCTTAACCTATTTCTAAGGGTAATATTACTTACAGAGTGAGACTGGCTTTTCTTGATGACAAATAGAATACACTACTGCTACACTGTTATTAAGCAGATATTCTGGAGGTGGAGTACATAAATACATTACCTGCTGCAGCTGGTTACTCAGTAAGCCATTTCGTTTGCTCTGCATGTAAGCATTAGCACTCCCACTCTTTGCTGCACGAATTCTGGCAAGCCTGGCTTTCTACATAAAGGAAACAAAAGAAAGAAACAGTGCCACTTCTGTTTGTATTCATTATTCTATTTATACAAACAGCTTATTGGAGTCAGCCATTTATGAATACTAATGTCATAATTACCGAAGGGTTGCTTTACACTGGTCATTCAGGTGTAGCAAATCAAGAGAATTTTTCCCATTTAAAATGCAAATTATCTGGAAGTTTTTGTTTGTTTGCATGCATTAACTAAGAAGAATGATTCTGGAGAAGTGGCTATACATATTTTTGCAACATTAGCAAGTTATTTTCCCATTTACTGTGCCTGTGTTTATGTAATTTCTTCTGCCTTATGGTTCAGAAATATTGCTTCCATCTCAGTTTACTCCAATCCTGTGCCTTCAGTTAAAAGTTCCTTGAAAGGAAGGGCAATGATCCAGGAGAACATGACATTTCAACTGCTGTGAGCCATCAAGTGCCTCCACGGTTCCTCAGATCATTCTAATTTTCAGAAAACTATGTGTAACAGAAGGATATAGAAAGATGTCATTATAAATAGCTGTTAAATTCCTATGTCCTTGCTAGTGCTTTTCTGCCCGCTGTAAAGAGTCTGACATATCTTGTGACATTAAGGATACTTAATATGGATCACCATTTGTCCTAATCTTATGAATTTAAAATGCAAACTGCTGAGAGAGGGAGATAGAGCTATGTGAGATTATCTCATGTTTGCGTAGGTAGGTTGCATCACATTAGTGGAGGGTCTATGAGAGGAGGACAGTGGAAAGAAAACAGTAGGGAAGCTCAAAAAATTTTCAGTTAAAATTGCCATTTTAAGTTACTGCAGACTGAACAATGGGAAGCCAATGTTGCAGATGAAACCTGGTATTTAAAGAAAAGACTCTTCAAACTAGTAACACAGAAAACAAACAACAGAGTAGCTTTCACTTTGTTGGCTTTTTGGAGAATGTGGAGTCTTGGCTATTATTCTGCAGCAATGTTTATGCCTAGCTCTTTGCATATGTCAGAGAAAGAGAGTTTGAGATTTGCTTAGATTTCTGGTTCCGAAGGCCAAGAATCAAACAATGACAGCAGCCTAACTGAGGGGGGCAACCAGGGTAGTGGCCCTGGACACCCCTTTGTTGGGGGTGTTGAGATGAACCAAAAGCATCTATTGTTGCAGAGGCAGCTGGTTGCATTTCTACAAGCGGTATGGTAGGAGGTGGCGCTGCCCCACACACCCTGGGCATGGAGCTGCACTGCTGCACCTTTAAGCAATGGTTTAAAATTAGATTAAAATAAGCAATCTTGAATTACTGCAGTAGAACCCAGAATTATGAACCTTGAGAATCAAGTGTGAAGTTCTGGTTCAATGCATGAAAACTGCAATGATTTGCAGTTTTAGCAATTAGTGAAGGGAAATTTTCAGAAAACAGGGAGAGAAATCTCTGTCCCCTTTTTCTCATATGGCATTATTGAATAAAGTCACTGTCTCCCTCCTATTGGCGTGACATGACGGAGTCCTTGAAGAATCATCACAGAAGGAAGTAGCAGGATCAGTACATGCTTGACCCTCTCCCAATCTAGTCAATCATAATTTGGTTTTGAAGGACAAAAAAATATGTCTTTCTACATGTTTAGTGTCATGATTGTAAAAATAGGGACTATTCTCTGCAGCAAAGCAAAGCAAGCCAATCCATGAGGCAAACTGAAAAGAACTATGGAGACGATCTGGTTTATAGTACATGGCATGGACCTGCAGGTTCAGAGACTTTTTCTGCTGCTGCTACAATTGTTCCAAAAGTAAGTCAGACTACGTGGAGCATGCAAGCATCACTAATAGCCAGATCCCAACTGACCTTAAAAGTAAGCCCTGGGAGCACTGCTGAGAAATAAACCCCAATGCAGGCTGCAGCACCTGCTCCACATGTGCCCAGAGTAGACAGCATAGAGTAGGCAGTGCAGACAGTTTCGGAGTGGGCCTGGGTGCCACAGACTGGCCTGTAGTGTACACTGCAGCCTGATGTTCAGGTTCTCCCCAGACAGGAAATGTATCTGTGGCCCAGTGAAGAGGGCACTTCCCCTGCAAATGGGGGGAGTGCAATTTTTCTGTCTTGGGCCTACTGCCAGTACTGTTTATACATTTTACATCAGGCAGTCTCTGGTTACAGTACAAAAATACTTCTGGCACCCCAGGACAGAACCTAGGATTTCACCTTTCCAGGGACCGCTGTATCTCTAGGCTACAAAGTGACACTTCCACTTGCTTACTCTTTTCCCTTTGACCCCATGAATCTTGTACACTTGGCTGCACAGTGACCCAACTTCAACAGGAGGGAACCTGTTGGAAACCCAGCCCACCAGTAAGGGCAACCCCTAGAGAGTCACAGGTCTGAGTACGAGTCCTGTCAGGGTGTGATGGCGCAAGAACCTAGGTCCTTGCCCAGGCAGTCACTTAGTTGTGAGCCTAGGGAATAAAGAACCAAGTCAGAGTTTAGGTCAATAATGTATGGATGGATGGGTGAGGGGGGCATGAGACCTGAATCTCTCTAAAGGGGGAGCCCCAGAATGGAGCAGGCTCCCTTAGGGACTTCATACTCCTCATACTCCTGCTTCCCTTCTTCCCATGACCTTCTGGCTTTAGCTCCAGCAGGAGAGCAGCATGGTGGTGCAGGAACATAGTGAGTGAATTAAGGGCAATCTGGGAAATCTAGTTCTGTTGAACAGCAGCAGGTCATGGGATAGAAGCTGCTGCTGGGAGGAGATGCCATCCCAATTTTTTGCTTCAGAAAGTGGGTGGCTTTTTGGTAGTTTGGCATTGGTGTCAGTGGCAAAGCAACAGAGTGACATCTCCGCTCAGGGGCAGCGAGCTCTAGTTGCTCCTGTGCTGCTGCCCACTGCTAGAGCCACCAGAGCCATGGCCTGCAAAGAAACTCTGGAGGAGTCCTGGCAAATTACAGCTCTGGTTCAGGCCCTCCAAGCCCTGCTTTAGACTGCAAGCTTACATGGGAGTGAGGTACCTACAGTAGCTCAAGTCAAGGTTTCTATGGGTTTTTTTCAGAGCCAAACAGGAACACGTAAGTAGTTCTGTGGCTGACAAATAGGATCAATTAGACTCACACTTTGTGGCTTAAGTGCCTAAACGCCACCTAAGTCCTTATTATATACCTTAGAGGTTTGTTAGGATCTGGCCTCACATCATAAATTTCTTAGGATGTATGACTGGGCATTTCCAACCTATGAGTTAAAAAAGGGTTATGATGCCCCTTTCATTAGGGGAACGTTCACAAAGACATAGAATTTAAGTAATTTTCACAAGTAGAGTGGTCATTTGGGAGGCACTGGTGCTAAGTTGCACAATTATCAGCCCTGTGATCATAAGTTTGAGGCTGTAGCAGAAGCACTCATGGCTCTATCAGATTCCAAAGAATCTGCAAATTCTGCTAAATACCTTGTCATGACATGGACTCAGGAAGAAGATAACATGATTTAATAACATGCCTGTGATAAAAATCAGAACCCAGGTATCCTGACTTCCATTTTGGTGTTCTAACCTCCAGAAAATGCTCCTTGCAATGGATTAGTGACAAGCCCTTTGTGGGGAATAGTAGCCTTTTCATTACTTGCACCACATTTTGAATATAAATGTGTAATACACCTTTTCCCCAGCCTCCCCAGAAAGGAATTATTAAAGCCTCATGCCAGCAAAAGGATTGTAAGTGCTGTATACTATGCAAGGACTTCCCATGAAGTAGGCTGGAATTGTGGGGTGAGAGCATGGACAGAATTCCTTCTGTAAGTTTACAGAACTAGTTCAGATGAAATCCTAAATAAAATCTTAGATCTTATTTCCTCCACATGTCTTTGTAAAAAGAAGAAAAAAATCTTATCAAAAAAATAAAGAAAGAAGAAAAAAGATAATGGGAAATTACATACACATTTTTATAGGTCTTGCTCCCTTAAGATAGTATAGGTATATTCAGATGTACTTATGGGTATATAGACTATGACAAGAGAATCTCCACTTAAAGTAACTCTCATCTACTGTGTGTCACTGGTGATTGAGAGAAAGACTTTAAATGCCAAGGCTTCTGTTCTATCAGTTTATTGCAACGTATTTTGAGGGAATTGCTTGTATAGAGCACTCTAACATGAAAACATCTTCAAAAACAAATACAGTCTTTTGATTCAACCTTTGATTGAGGAGGCCAAAATAGAGAAAGCAATCCTTTATCTGTGTTCCATCTCTGCCAGGGCAATTGACTACCCGCTCAATCTTCCTGGGACACATGAAACAACATATATCTTGGTTGGCGACCAGTGTTTGAGAACCTAACAGAGGTTGGGTTAACAAGTACAAGACTTGAACAATGAGAAGCTGAGCACAGCAGTACACAGCATGTATTCTGAATGATCAAGACAAAGAGGCGAGGGTTACACAAATGAATGGATCACAGAAATGGGATCCCATGAGGCAGTCTACTACAAAATGTGGAGGCCTCAAAAACATGCCTGAAAAGCAGGTCAGTTCACAGAAAAGAAAGAACTGTCTCCTTTTCATACTTCCTCTTAGGACACTGTGAAGACACCTCTGCTGCCCAACATGTTTTTTGGTGGGAGAAACAGTGGCGAGGCTTTGTTCAACTGTAGCCTTAAGCGGGAGTTGTATCCAGTAAATACTTCTGGTTGCTCTATTAATTACTCCTGCTACTTGTTGTTAAAATTATCAATGCACTGCTGATAACACAGTGTGGAAGTTTAAAAGTGATGTTCAGAGTCACCTGCATTTGATAGAGTTCACTGGCACAATTTAACATAAATTAGTTCTTTTGAGTGAGGCAGTGGCATAATGGTGTGGCTGGCCACCTGGGGCACCTGTCACATATGGGCAGCAGTGACTTCTCGTGCTGCTGCTTCTTCTGCCCAAGTTAGTGCCGGGGCAGCTGTCCTGGTTGCCCTGTCCTAGTTACACAACTAAGTGAGGTACCATGAAGAGAACAGTCACTTGTATGTCACTAGAGTGAAAGAA